GTAGGTTCCAACTCTACACGATGTAATTTCATTTATTTGATCTTGACATTTTTCCCTAGAGGATGAGTACTTAAGGGGGTTAGCTTTTTGATAAGACTTTAGTGGGAATGACACTGATGAATACTGCACATTGTAGTCGAAATACGTATCTGTTATGGATACCAAAATTAATTAAGTGGAATTAAATTGAACTTTTTTGCTGTTTAATTTAATTTAAATTTAATCCATTTTTGAACACTCCTTTTTCAAAAGTTACTCTTGAGAAAAAAAAAATCAATTTTAAATAAAAACTGCATTGGTAGCAGCAAACATATAAATAAACCATGGCTCACTTAGTAATGTAACAAACTCTTTTGCTTAATACAACGCTCCTAGTGGACATTTTCGGAAGCGTGTGGACGTCTATTTGTTGACAACAACAATAACAAAAACGGTGTACTTTCAGTACATAAAACGCTCTCGTTTTGAAGACAGTCACCATGCAAGAGGAGCGTAGAAAAAAAATGTCCACATTCACCTGGAAAATCATTCGTGGTCCGCGTCCAAGCTGGCTAAAGTGTTGAATTTTCCTCCACCGTATGGTGCGTGTTCAAAAGGCAGGCAGGGCGTCACAGTATCAGCTTCAATCGACCAAATCGATGCGACGAAGAGACTGCTGGCTTTCTTTTTCTGTTAAAGTCGAACAGCTTCGCAGCATTCTAGAGCCTCAGTCGGCGTGCACAAACAAATGTTCAATCGCTTGTCTCTCTTTCTCCCGTCGCTCCATTGGTCTTCCTTTCAAGCTTCGGTGAAACGGATGAGCGAAGAGCGCTCGACTTTGATAGTTTTCTCTTTCATGAAACACATCAACAGAGGTTTCATGACGTATATGACGGAAAATGAAATAACACATTTAAAGCATTTCTCACGTCAAAACACTTCAAGATTACACGTAATATGTTTAATTTATCTTCCATCCATATATTTATCTAAAAAAAAGATCGAAAACGGGACATAACGCATTTTAAACAAATTGAAAGAGCGGTGATAGAGTGTTCGTGAAAGGGATTTGAAAGCCATAATGAGGTTTCGTTTAACTAGAAAATCGACATTACTTACATTGAAAGGGATGAGCAAAGCAACCACGAGAAGATCCACAGCCAGCGTTTCCTTCTAAGCGTGCTTCTTTTTCATTATCATTTCTTGTTGATAGTCTAGCTAGGCGTTTTAGAAATGAAGCGTTGAACACGTTTGTATGAGAGAAACAAAACTTGAGTTCATTTTAGAGCTTCGAAAATGTAGAGCCCTGCGTACAGGGATTCCTTAAAGAAAAATCGGAAGCCTCAAAATAAACACCGGAGTGGAACTGCCAACCGTTAGCTCCATGGAAAGATCGTGAGGTCCATCAGAAGCAAACCAAATATGTCCAATCGCGATTTGAGTAAAAAGTGTGATGCCGCCGTAGTACAGTGCAGCGAATTTTCACAGCTTCTAGGGCCAACATTTTACAAGGCGAAGACTCGAGGAGGTGTCTCTAGCAGATGCAAATTTGTTTTTGCGGATAAATTCGCTCCCAAATATATGATCTGGCAGAGAATTTGCAGCAGCGGTTAGAAGACAAAGGTTTTCGTCACTGAGAAAATGATGGACTCGGAGGTTTATAAAACCAAATGTCTCCAGAAGCAAATTCTGCCCTTCACTGGTCTGGTGACATTTTGATCGGATCTTGCTAGTTATCACTACAGCCGGGAAGTACAACAATAGTACAATGACAACGGAGTCCAGTTTGTTCTGAAAACATCCATCCGCCCAATTATCCTGTTGAAAACTACTGGGAAATTACGAAGAGGGAACTGAAGGTAAAAGGTAGAGTCATCGAAACGGAAATTGGTAGGATAAAATCGCCAAAACAGTGGACGAGACCGTTGTGCGTCGCTTAAGGAAAAGTTCGAGAATTCCTTCGAAACCACGATGAATAATTCGTTTCGTATTTTTTCCTTAAAATATAAGGAATAGTATGCACTTAAGTGAAAACCATTTTCAAATCCGAAATAGACCCAAATGATGTTGTTCCATGCCATGTTACTAAGCTATGTTTTAATGTTTCGGAAACACGAAAAATCGTGTAAATTTACACCAAATCTAGCGCTAATTTTATGTGCGCTATATCTAAAAGAAATTTACATGAATTTTTCAAACGGTGTAACCAAACAAGTTCACATTTTGAGAGGCTAATCAGGACTTGATTTGGAAGCGAGCCCAAATTTAAAATTTTGCATCAGTTTATTGGACATTGTATTCGTAAGAAGAATGATTCGAAAGCGTGTCTCTTTCATAGTACATATATATTCAGCCATTCCAAAGCACAATGATATAGTGGTTCTCAGTATTTCGTAAAAACTACTAATTTTGTTCCTAAACGCAAAATATTACACCAGTATAATGAGAGAGAGAGAGAAGGATTAGTAATTTCCATTTAATTCCACTACCTTATTTGCTTATCCTTGACAGATACGCTTATTTTGTCTACACAACGTATTTATAATTGCCTTTCATTTTTTAAATTTTTGATCTGTGAGTTCCGTGGTTCAAAACTCATAAATTTTTGAGAAGTCATTTTTGAAAAAAAAATCGATTTTTTGAACCACCCTAAAGGCAAATAAAAAAAAATTGGGTATAATATTTTACGATAAAAAAAAAACAATTTTTTTTATGAAATTTAGAGAACCACTATATCGTTTTGCTGCATGAATGGCTGTATTTATATATATCAAGTATTTTGCTAAGTTACTTCCGGTTGATGATAAATTTTGTGTTTTACATGAAGCCTTAAATCCTAGTGAGTCTTCTTTAAGCTTAGTCAGTTATGGGCGTAGAAAACATTACAAGGTTGTGGGTTGAATTCCTGACCGGTTGAGTTACTTTTCGGGATGGAAATTTTCTTGCAAATGTACACGCAAACTAAAAATTTATTACAATGAATGTTAGTTCCATTTCCTATCATCCTCTGTTCATGAACATCGCAGCGAATGTTAGAAGTTGACCTTGCAGGCGATGTAATGGTTTTTTTTGCCTTTTTTATTTCGTGTTCTGTCTGTGCTTTCATCTACACAAGCAAGCATTTGCCTTGATTTTTATGTATAACATGGCAGAACGACGCACACACTTGCCTCAAACTAAGAGATGAACTAGTATGGCTAAAAATCTCTCAAATAAAGGATAAAAAAGAAAATAAAACTTGCCTCAAATCTCTCCAGCAGAAAAAGCATACGAAGTCAAATGTGAGAGGAAATGAGCGCTTCTTGTTTGCTTTTAGGCTATCCATATTCAGAAGCATGGAGAGAGCAGTGGAGAAAGCACAGGTCTGATAACCACAACGTTCGTGGTTCGAGTCCCAGTCGGCAACCTTTTTCCAATTTTTTTTGACATAATTCATTTCACTCACTAATATACTCCACATTTTTGGTCTCCAATTCTCTTGCATTGGACCGCAGCTAGGTATATTGCATCCTCGGTTCATGCGGTCTCCACTTACATCCTCTGATGATGAATCCCACATAATTGTAAGCGAATCTTACATCCACCGGTTGGGTGTACTTAAATAAATTGCTTTCGCACTTCCATTCAACAGAAGCAAATTTGAGCAAAAACAATTTCAAGCATGCTGTTAAAGGATTGATTATAATCAATAATTATTAGTATTTATTATAATTATTGATATATATTGCCCAATATAATAATCCGTGAAATATTCCATTTATATTGAAATCCAAGTGCTTTTTGGAATATAACATGCACGCGCAGTAAAGGATTAGTTTGAAAATGCATCTTCATTCAATGAATTTGGAGATGCAATCAATGACCAACTGCTCGTCAAGAAGACACAAATGAATATGTATTGCATAGTTTGTGTTTGGTACCCGAGCAAAATTCAGCATCAAAATAACAGAAAATTGAATTCAAATTCAACATCAAACTGAAAAAATAAGTTGATTTCAGTTTACACGATTGACAGATTTGATAACAAATTTTGATTTTATTTTGCTGTACATTAGCTCTTTAAAAATATGTTGTTACAGTTTTGTTTTCATTGCCTTAGCAGAAAATGGAATACTCGTTTTGTTATCAGCAGAAAAAATTGTACACCAAATTGAGTTTTCAGTTTTCTCTCACTGATAGCAGAATCAGTTTTCAATGTGATATCACAGGAAGATTTTCTTGCTCTCAATTTTGATATTTTAACCGTTAAAACGACCAAAACGACAGCTACTTGAGTAATCATGATCAGCGACTTCACAACATCAAATTTTGTTTTTAATTTGATCTCAGACTTTGGTCCGGTACCTAGCCTTGTTATTGGTAACCAATTTTATCTTCTAGCAAATAGACAATTACTTTAATCAAATTCGCTGTGAATCTCTACAAGGCTGAAGTGGAAGCACAATTTTAATTTCCCAATCAAAATGTCAGAATGTTTAGCCATGCATCGATGCAACAATACTTTCCAACCACCTTACTGCTGGAGATAGCAACGTAACAGCTTTTCGAACTTAAAACCAGCTCACATTCACTGTAAGATTTCACAACAGACGTTATCTCGCCGGGTAATCGACAGCTAATTTAGGAAGCAAACATAGTTCAAAAGTACCACCGACACAGTTACGTGGGTTGCTACTGGTGGTTAATGCCTGCTAGAAATTACCAACTCTTGCACTGTGCTCAGTTCTCCGGAAATCGATCATCAGTTGCCATCACTCTTGAATGACTAATGGATAGGAACACGCAGGAAAGACTCTCTGCGGCTGTTCGTTTCACCAACTGCTCGTTCATCTGATTGATTCTTCAGACGTCACAAACCCCTCGTGATGGCCACATTTAATCGATTTGCCGGTTTCCGCCGCTTTATTTCCTCCAATCGAACCGCCCACCGGGTGGAGTGTGTCCAACTTAATCTAATTTAACTTGAAGTTGCAAAATTACTAATCATTTCCTATATGCTTCTCGTTACATTCCATTATCAGGCATCTTGGAGCCCGAAACACCGGACCAGGCGGCGAGTAAAAGTGGCACCGGCTGAATCAGGCAGAAACAGTAATCGGCTTCAAGTAGAAAATTTGCTTGCATCGAAGCGTGAAAACATATCCCGGAGCCCTCGGAAGCAACGCAAGCAACGCACCTGGGTTTGGAGCATAAGTGGCCTGATGTTGCACGAGATTCATAGGTAGTCGGTGTTGTTGAGTAGCGTGCGCCGCAGAAAGAAGGAAAAAAGTGGTGTAAAATCGCCTCGAGCAAAACAAACGATGCAAAAATTCCCGCATTCAATCTGATTTAACGTGATTATCCGTAACTAGTCGGGGGTGCCTCCAAGTCGTGTTGCTTCAGTGCTCGCCGGTGGTGGTGGTACAGTCAAGAATAATTTGTAGATCATAAATTGGAAGTGATACAATAGGGAAAAAAGCGGAAGAAAAGGCTGAATTGATTACGACTGCTGCGAAGAAAATCAAAAGTTAGTGATGAACCTGGCTAGAATTGGGAGTGTTCGTTTCGTGAGTTCTTTTCTTGGTACTTTGTGGCAAACGGTGGGCACGAGTTCTGCGCAACGCGATCCAAGATAGATAAATTAATCAAAAATTTAATCGACGGGGCAGACAATTGGTGATCAATTCAAGATGGGCAACTCGATAAGCAGTGCTAATGAATCTACGCTGCCTCGTAGTTATGGTGATTGTAACGGAAAACGGTGCTGTTACGAGAATGGAGCAACCAATACTGGCTCCAGGAGTAGCCATCAGAACCAACAACAACAGCAACAGCAAAATCCGGAAAACTCCCGAATGCTGTTTCTGCTCTACTTGATTCATCGGACCTGGAACGTCGTGGTCGATAGCGTGGATCAGAAAGGCAAAAAGTGAGTATAAATTGTGGTGTGATGACAAGTGATGGCTGTTTATTGCGTTTTTACCAACTTCTATAGATTTGTACCATCCTTTGCATGAATGTAATGGCAGCTCTTGCAATGGGCTGCAGCGTACAAGAAAGATTTTTTTGTATAAAACATTCTAGAGCTGATTTTCTAGAAGCAATGCATTTGAGGAAAAACACTTTGTTCGAAAAATAAGCATCATAAAAATTACAAAATTATATTTAAAACCTTCCGGCGACCCCATTACAGAACCTGTTTGTTTCGCAAAACATTGCAAATTTTGCATACTTTTCATGTGTAACATCTACCGTATAGCATGTCCGGTGTTTTCACTGGTATAGTCATATATTATTTGGGATATTGTATAGAGTTGTATAGGGTTGCTTCCATTCACTTACTTTAATGTTTTTCGGAATTATAAAATCGTTAGATGTTATTATGATATTTTGTACTTGTAAGTTAAAAGAAGATGTTGCAAAGTATGTGTTTGACACATGAAACCTTTAAATTTTGTGACTGTGACTATCTGAAAGCGAATTTGACTGGTTTTATGCGTCAAACACTTAAATTTCAACTTAAATTATAACTTTTTTTTCTTTATTTAAGAGATTTTTAGCCATAGGCTAGTTCATCTCTAAAAATTTTAACTTCTTCTTGTATCTAACAAGTACAAAATATAATTATAACATCTAATGATTACAAAATTCCGAAAATCATTTTTTTTATAGCAAGCGAGTGGAAGCATGTCTGAACAATATACAGATTTTAACAACGTATTAATGGTTAAACTTCTTTACGGTTCCACGTGGACAGTTTAGGGCCAGGAGATTGGCAAATGTCAACGGCCTCACACATTTTTAAACCATTGCTTTGGATACTAATCACGTGGAGGGAGAGGGCTCTAAAAACATTAAAACAAAATTCACGTGTTATCTGGCCAGCCCCTAATGACATCTTAAAAGGGAAACAGGGTGTAATATGTGCCAGTGGGGTAATATGACATCGCATGTACTTTTTATGTAGCAATTGACAATGAAAATTCCATGGCAAATTCTGTTGATATTATTACTTTGCTAACGCGTTTTATAGTGGGTAGCATCCATACCTATCACGCCAAAGTCACGAGTTCAAATCTCACCCTCGGACAAGTCACGAATGACCCAAGAGCGTTAAAATGACAATATTAAAAAAAAAACTGAAAACTGTGAAAAATCCGAACTGTTTACCGAACTGTTAAGATTTCGGTATAATTTCACAAAAATCTGTGACATAATCTTAGTGTGTACCAATTTAACGCGATCATTTTATGCAATGTCCATAACTGATTGACTATTAAATATTCCAAATTAAAAATGATTGAATCTCTTAAAACTACAACCAAAAAAGTATCAGAGAAATTGCTAAACAATAATGTAAAATTTGATTCTCCGATATTTGATAATGATTGTAGTAATTTAGGGATGGCCTTATGCTACAGTTCATACAGTTTTTGTTAGAAAAATGTATGGATGATTGTCCATGCAAACGGAGGAGGAAGGCTTCTAAAATAATATTTTTTGGAAAGCACTGTAGATTCTCAATCGAATCGAATCCATCGTTGTTTGTCAATAATTGTATTCGAGGATTTTTATTTAATTTTTAATCGTTCAGAGAAAACAAAATCAGTCAATTTTCCTAATCTCGACATTGATCGTACCATCGTATTAGGAAGGCTACCGTGTTACTGAGGTAAATTATGGAAATTTATATGGGAAAAGTGGTCGAAGTAGCCTGGATTTTCCCAACGTGAACCAATCCCTGGCTGAAAACCTTGTAAGGGCACGTAAGGGGCTGTTCATTAACTATGTTGACAGTTTTTTGGGATTCTTGCCATCCCCCCCCCCATACCCCTGCGTAGACAAGTGTCCATAAACAATTTTTAAAATTTGTGTGGGTTGTGGATAATAGCCACACCCCCTTAATACACTGTCTATGTGGTTTATGAACAGCCCCTTATGCAAAAAAGTTGATTTTTGAATACCCCCCACCTTCTTGTCACGTACGTTTCCTATACCTGATACATGGTGTTTCACACATTTCCAGATTACCCCACCCCCTCTTGCAATACGTAATGTTTGAATGGGCTCTAAATAAAGTTTTAAAAAAACCTGGACTTCCATCGAGTTACGGAGAATATTGAGTAAGGGAGAATTGACTGCAATCTATATATATAAAAATGAATTTCTGTCTGTCTGTCTGTCTGTCTGTCTGACCCTTATAGACTCGGAAACTACTGAACCGATTGGCGTGAAAATTTGTATACAGGGCTTTTTGGGGCCGTGGAAGGTTCTTATGATGGTTCGAGACCCCTCCCCCTTCTGTAAGGGGGGGCTCCCATACAAATGAAACAGAAATTTCTGCATAACTCGAGAACTAATCAAGCAAATGGAACCAAATTAGGCATGTGGGGGCGAGTGTGGGGGTATAAGGAGATAATCATAGGGGGTAGCCCCTTAGATAATAGGGGGGGGGGGGGCTACGTACAATATAGCATGCTTTTTTTTTAAATCGACGCATAAACTCAAGCTAATATTGAATCCCGAGCAAGACCGGGCACACTCAGCTAGTACTAAATAAATCAAACATTGGTTGATTTTCAGTTTGTGAAAATAAATAATCAACACAGGATAAATTTTCACGAAAATTAAAAAAAATTATGCTTATTAATATTCAGAGAACACCTGTTCACTACCATAGTCTAGGGGATCGGGTTGTCCATAGATCAGTCAAGTCGAAATCCTCATCATATAGTTGAATGGTAAAATAATAATTCCGTAGCTAAATGCTTTACTTATAAAAGAAATTAACAGCTATTTACCGTTTTTCAAGACAATCAGAAAAAAAAAGATGAAAGATGATTTGCGATAATAGATTCAGACTACTTATCATCTTTCCTTACTTTACCACCTATATATGTTCCCACTGGGTAGTTGAAGTCGAAAAACGCGTAGAACTTGTTGAAACGCACAAACATGAACCGTATTGAATAATTTAAGTTGGTTTTACATTACAATAACGGGTGTTCAATAAAAAATGATAATGATTTGCCGTCCAGCGCTCTTGTGAGAGCATCACTACTAAGTTGCGTCGTACGGCTGACCAGGGTCTCTTCTCCAATATTCATTGATGTTTTTTTTTTGAAGAATAAACATTGTGTTTTTAATAAAAAATACTGAATTCGTTGAAAGTTTTTTTTTACTAGCTATATGACTGAAAAAATCTAATTTTTTATTGAACACCCGTTAGTTGACAACAGCCATCGTATGATGGAAGTATAACTGGATTTTTCCATGAAATGTGGACCTAGCAAACGTATTTTCCATTCAAACTGTTTGAAACGTTTACCTACACAGCATTGCAAGATGGTACAAGAGAGTTGACTAGAGTTTTTAAGCATACAGGATCATGAAACCTATAGGAAATGTTGAAGATGAAACTGAATTGCGTGTTAGCTTTGTCAATGATGTCAGAGTTATGTGGATTAGGGGGCATACTTAAATGATTGGGAACGACGCGGTAAGACGCCCACCCTAAGCTTGAAGTAAGATTTAACCAAAATTATACAATTTCTGCGATAAATTTAGTGAATATTGATCTTTAGATTACTTTTCCAAATTACATTGATATTCAGAAAGATTCCTTTTCATTTGATGATGTTTTATCACTAACCAAAAATAGACTAAATAATAATAATAAAAAAAAATCATGCGGGGTACCCAACAAACAATTTTAGCTGCAGCTCAGCTTGTACAGCCAAAAACTAGCTGCATAAGGTAAATTTTGGCTGTATAAGCTAGTCTGCTGCTAAAATTGTTAGTTGGGTAAGCTTGGCCACCTCTAGGGGTAAGACGGCCACATTACTGCCTTCGGCAAAATTGCACAGTAGGTTAAGGTGGATTGGTTAAAGAACAATATCACATAATTTTCTCACTATGCGGCGCTAATATACAAGTCAATTTTTTGTATAAAATATATCTTGATATCTTTACTATTTCGAAAGTTGTCGTCTCCGGGAAAGTTTTTCGGGTGACCAATGTCTTCTAATTTGTAGGCTGTTTAGTTCAGAATTCTCTCACTACACAACACTAGTCTGTGTGTGGACTTCATGTACATGTCTTGACTTCGTAGATGCAGAAAGACCACATGTACACTAGCGCCACGTAGTGAGGGAATTCCTAATTTACTTGTGCACCATCACCATTTGGAATTCCTTGATCATCTTACTTATAATGACGGTAACATAAGTTTCTATAAAATCCAGAATCTAATTTATTAAACTGACTGCTTTTACGGATGTTTCGGATTTTCTGGTGGATCCTAAATAATCCTGATATATTTCAAAAACGAAATATTGTTATTTACTATATTCAGTTTCAACCTTGAGGCATAGCTTATCCCAACCAAAGATGGCTGTCTTGCCCCGGTACAAGTCAAACTGTGACAGCTTCTGTAATACCTCATAATTTAAAGAAAACCTTCTATTTTTTCAATAAGTACATCGAGCAGACTTGTGTTTTCCTTATGGTAACATTAATTTTAAATGATATATAATATAAAAGCTCTAAAACAGTAAATGGCGTGAACTCTACATCGTATTTTTTTTAAAGAGTTGATTGTTTAAATATTCTAAAGGATGACCGTCTTACCCCGTCGTCCTCTACTTGATGGGCTGCAACTCAGCTCGTTGAATCTATACCTATCGAAGGTTTTTCTCCACTGGACTCAGTTCTGAGGTAATCGCTTTCTGTAGCCATGGAAGATAAGTACTACAGAAAAGTCAACGTGTGCGATGTTTTCCCAGTTCTCTGCTTATCGTTCGTCCGGCATCCGTGCTACATGTCCAGTCTACTGTAGTCTGACGTGTTTTACAAGCAATATCCATTCCGTTATATACCACGCGAAATCGATGAACATACAATTAGGCTAAAAATCTCTAAAATAAAGAA